CAGGCAGAATTTGTCTTAGGCGGCGTCGGTCCAGTGCCTGTAATTAGTGGGGAGCGCGTTCACATCAAACGGCCCTGCCGCAGAGATGGGGTCACCGGGGAGTTACGCAGAAACCCGCTCTCGACACGCCAGGCCCCGTTTCATCTGCTGACTTCAAAACAACTTTCAGCAGCATCAAAGACAGAGATCGAGATGCTGATCACGTCTAACAGCACAGAAATAAAAAGAGAGAGAGACGGATAGAGGGAGTGATGGAGATAGATAGATAGATATCTGTGACAAAGAATCACAAATGACAGAGACATCTATGTATGTCAGAATACACAGGGTACACTTCCATACATACATACATTAACTATATATCGATTCTTTTGGAACGGCCGATTCAATCAAGAGTGAAGAAAGTAGGTGCATCCAAAATCGCGTACTTATGCACTATACTATGACGTTTTGTAGTATAAATAGTGCGAGTAGTGTGTTCACTCTGAAAATTCCAAATAGAAAAAGTGCACTTTAAATACCCGGATGATGCACTTAACCGAAAAAATGAAGTGTCGAATGTTGGACACTTCATGCATAGATATATATAGGTAGATGCGACAGCTCCACAGCGGAACCATAAATATCTAAGGATTGTGGCATCTTCGAATATTCATTGATTATTATGGTGAATGACGTCAAGTTGACCATTCCAATATGGCGGACGGCTTACGTATAGCGGCCCATAGAAACAATTGCTAATGAGGCATCTACGTATACTATGACGTCATGCACTCAACTGTCACAGCTTTAATTATGTAGCGAGCGGGGAGGGGCTATCAGACTCCATTTATGAATGACAAAATAACCTTATATAATTCATACACTACATGGTTGAGTACATAGCGCATAAGTACATAGTGTATGAGTGCCTAGTAGGGATGTGCCCGAATAGTGAATCTGAATTTGGAAGGGCACAGAAAATGAATAACGTGTTCTACGGAGCCACTAAAGGGACATGGTTAGCCGCTTGCTAGCAGTAGCCTGTTACATTACAGTACATACAATTTCAATTACCACATAAATAGAGTAAGGAGAGATGACTGATAGGACGATGGCGAATGATGTGCAGATCCTGAGCACTGACAAAAATCTAATCTTGTGAAATGTGTGGTAAGTACTGTTGCTCCATAGTATATACAGAGTACGTGTGATCGTGAATCTCGAAAGTGAAAGTAAAAAGTTAGCGCGCATTCAAAAGCGATTTCAGTGCTCCCGCATATTAATAGCGGCTTCCTGATGCCCGCAGTTTATATACAGTATAATTACTCAACGATATACTTGTGAGAGAAAGCATTGAAATATATTTTTTTCCTCCCATCTTGTATTTATTCCCTTTAGGGCTTCCGTAGAACACGTTATTCGTTTTCTGTGCCTTTCCGAATTCGGATTCACTATTCGGGCACATCCCTAGTGCATACTGTATAGTGCAGGGGTGTCAAACTCAATTCCTGGAGGGCTGGATCCCTGCAGAATTTAGGTTCAACCCTAATTAAACACACCTGATCCAACTAATCAAGTCCTTCAGGCTTATTTGAAAACTACATGCTGTGTGTGTTGGAGCAGGGTTGGAACAAAACTCTGCAGGGCTCCGGCCCTCCAGGAATTGAGTTTGACACCCCTGGGCGGACGGCTTACGTATAGCGGCCCATAGAAACAATTGCTAATGAGGCATCTACGTATACTATGACGTCATGCACTCAACTGTCACAGCTTTAATTATGTAGCGAGCGGGGAGGGGCTATCAGACTCCATTTATGAATGACAAAATAACCTTATATAATTCATACACTACATGGTTGAGTACATAGCGCATAAGTACATAGTGTATGAGTGCCTAGTAGGGATGTGCCCGAATAGTGAATCTGAATTTGGAAGGGCACAGAAAATGAATAACGTGTTCTACGGAGCCACTAAAGGGACATGGTTAGCCGCTTGCTAGCAGTAGCCTGTTACATTACAGTACATACAATTTCAATTACCACATAAATAGAGTAAGGAGAGATGACTGATAGGACGATGGCGAATGATGTGCAGATCCTGAGCACTGACAAAAATCTAATCTTGTGAAATGTGTGGTAAGTACTGTTGCTCCATAGTATATACAGAGTACGTGTGATCGTGAATCTCGAAAGTGAAAGTAAAAAGTTAGCGCGCATTCAAAAGCGATTTCAGTGCTCCCGCATATTAATAGCGGCTTCCTGATGCCCGCAGTTTATATACAGTATAATTACTCAACGATATACTTGTGAGAGAAAGCATTGAAATATATTTTTTTCCTCCCATCTTGTATTTATTCCCTTTAGGGCTTCCGTAGAACACGTTATTCGTTTTCTGTGCCTTTCCGAATTCGGATTCACTATTCGGGCACATCCCTAGTGCATACTGTATAGTGCAGGGGTGTCAAACTCAATTCCTGGAGGGCTGGATCCCTGCAGAATTTAGGTTCAACCCTAATTAAACACACCTGATCCAACTAATCAAGTCCTTCAGGCTTATTTGAAAACTACATGCTGTGTGTGTTGGAGCAGGGTTGGAACAAAACTCTGCAGGGCTCCGGCCCTCCAGGAATTGAGTTTGACACCCCTGGTATAGTGCGTCATTTGGGACGTAGCTAGTGTTTTCATGAATGAATCAGTGAATCATTGACTCACCTGATTTGTTCAAAAACTCATTCATTAAGCAAACACCGCTCAACATGGCTTTGTTTGGAAACATTTTTGTTTAGCGAAACAGAGCAAAACAGACAATATTGTCTCTACAATTTAAATCACTTAATACTTCTTCATTGAATTGTTGAAACAGACAGTTTGAACTCATTAATAGAAGTTAATAAAATTATTTTTCCCTACAGATTTTTGGTTGAGTGTTTTAACTTTTCGTTAACGATTCGTTGAAATGAATTAAACTCGAACTGAATGCGCATGACTCTCAGTGCCTCTCATGAATCATGTCTTGTCCTCCGAACGAGCTTATTTATTCAAAGCACTTTCATAAGACACTACTTCTGTCTTTAGCAGCAGCTTTATTTCCCACATCCTGTTCTATTATGAGGCGCAGCTGCGCATGTTTGATACGTGTCACACTCGGGTGGGTTAAAGTCATCCGCGCTTACTAACTAAAGAAGATATGCAGCAGGTAATGAGCGCATGTGTCATTTCACATCTCTTCAGTTTGGCAGCTGTCTCTCGAAATATCTCAGAGCGTGAGAGGATTCATAACTTTATGAACAGAGTTTGTGTGCGAGTGTCACGGCGGCGTGCGCGGTGCATTATGGGATCTACAGTGGCGCCAAACAAATCCTGACTGACGTTTCATTTTAGTTGTGCTAAACAATTAGCCTATATTTTAAAAGCCTAATTGGCTTTTAATCAGATAAAGCCACATTAAGAGTGGCTAAATGTCAACGAGGCTTCGATTTGACAAAACAACTCTCAGCCAGATTAATCTTCTTACCTCGGAGATTCATGGTATTTTTCATAATGGTTTCATTTTAATGGCACTGGTCTCCAAAAAGCTTTTAATCTGTTTGAATGTGATAATTTGAAATGAATAAACAGCAATTTACTGACCTCTGAACTTCAGAAAATGACTTTTCAGAAAGCAATTTATAAAAACGCCACATTTTCAAGAGCAAAAGCTTGTTATAGGCCAATTGATTTCCATGACATTTACAGTTGTTTGTGATTACTGCATAAAGTTTTGAAGAACCATTTAGATTACATTTGGGGAAATCAACTAATTTGTGAACTGGTTCAATTGATTCATTACAAAGAACTAATTCAAAAGAATAATTATACAAATTGTATACACGAGCAAAAAGAATCAATTCAAAAGAATACTACAAACTGTATACAAAAGCAAAACCTAGCCAAACACACACACACACATTTTATTTAATGAGAATTATTACTACATTCATTCAAGTATTTTTTTTTTCTGTATTATTTAAACCAGGTTTTTCATGGCTTTCCCAGACAAATAAACAGTCAAATACAAAGCAGTTTCACTTCACATTTTATTAGAATCTTTCCTAGTACTTCTGCACAGATAAACATTTGCCATCATCAGTATGCAAGCTGTGGTGGGTTATTTCATTAAACCTGCCTTTCATGACGTTTCTGTTAATGCAAAGCAGAAACCCCAGGAACAGATGAGTACAAATGCCATCGACACACTGCACGTCTACTGTCAGAGCGGCTGTAGGCATTACTGGTGGGTGGAAAACAACAAACGGTGATGAGACGAGAACGGTGGTTGTCACATTAAAAGGAAGGGGAGAGGATGTGCTTGCGAAGTTCAAACCTCAGTACGCACTTCCTCCCTAAAGATTTGTTATCTTAGAGGTGTAATTCAGATGTTCTTATAAAAAAAAGTCAAAATCAAAGTGGGAGGAATAATAGTATGAAAAAGGGAAAGAAATCATGATGTACGAGAAATATTAAAAAAAAAAGAATTAAATTTTCTGCAATTATTTTTTTAAATAATGCAGTAAAAATGAATGCAATTCATCATTTTCGAAATGTCTATTAAATGACAAAACTTCATTTGTTGGCATTTCCTTTCATTAATTTACTTTTAATTAATTTACAATCCTCCAAAATCTATGGCATGCTAAAGAAAGTGAATGACTATTCACATCTGAAAATGTGATGTGGCTCTTTCAGTTTAATGAATGAGGTGGAGCGAGGGATTGTGGGAAGGGTCGGAAGAGTGCGGCATCCCCCAAGGCTATGTACTGGGTCTGTTTTGACTTCAGTCTATAACGACAATCCTGTCTGTAAAGGTCTTATTCGAGTGTTTGTTTCCAAATTAATCTAGGGTGCACTGGATCAAATTCTCAGTGCTATTTGGATGATGAATCCGCAAGTACCGGTGAAGGAGGCGTGCCGATTGATAATCGCTCACGTCAGAAGACGAAACAAGGATGGGCAAACAACAAAAAGGAGAAAACAAATCCGAAGCGACAACCAGACCCTTTATTTGAATGTGACATGGCATTTGATAAGACTAGAAGTTACACTGAAGAACATTTTTTCCAATTTGTGAGCAGGACGTCTAGTATGTACACCTCATTGTGGGTCACTTGACCCGGATCGCCCCTCAGTAGTCTAAGACTTCTATAGCACCTTGAGAAGGCAGATTGCGTATCTGTTTAACATCACCTATGACTATACGCTTAAATGTACACCACTTCAACCTCTTGAATAAAAATTATAAATTCAACTTTTTTTTTTCATCTTTCGACATTGTGTTGCAAAGATTCACCAAAACAAAAATCAATAAAAATAATAATCATAACAACAACGGTACTCGTAATAAAAAACAGACAAGGTGAATAGTATTCAATATCAACGTCTACCAAGTATGCTACAAAAACAAATCATCTGGTGCTGAAAAACATTTTATCGTAGATTATAGAAGAATACATGAACCCGCGCAAATCTATCGTAACACAGTTGTGTACGGTAACTGAAAACTGTAGCTTCTGATGCTGCCATAATTGATTTTCTTTATACAAGTATTAAATCTATATGTGACAAAAGACATTTAAATACTTATTAAATCCCATGAGCCCAGCTAAAACTCTTCCTGTGACCCCCCGCCCGAACACTTGAGTACAGAGAAAAATACCTGAAACTGTACAGATATAGACTGTCTATGTGATCTGTGACCGGGTAGCATGTTTTGGCTTGAGTTAGAAAAATATTTAGCACTCATTAGAGAAAAAAAATCAGGTATAAAGTAAACCGCACATACAGTGAATGATTATCCCATCTGAAAATGTATGGCGGCTCTTTCCGTTTAGTGAAAGAACCGGAGCGAGGGATCGTGGAAAGGGTCGGAAGAGTGAGGCATCCCCCAAGGCTATGTACTGGGTCCTTTTCGGCTTCAGTCTATAATGACACGCAATCGTCCCACGCGCACCGTTCATGGGTGGGAGACTCAGATTAGCACGACAGCGAATAAATGAAACAAAGACATGCAGTAGATGAATTTAAAGTCTGTATGTGTTGACGAATAGCTGGTAGCGCAAAGTGGCGCTTCAATACATCGGCTCAACACCTTGTTCCTCTTCTGGAGGAAAGTCAGAGTTGAGGAGAGACTCCATGTAGGCTATATAGCTTGAGCTATGCGTGTAACTCTCGCTGGGTTCCGGGGCAGGAAGTGTGGGTGCTGAAACAGGAAGTGAGGTGGGGGGAGGCAGGCAGGGGGCAGTGCTGGTGTTTGGAGTAATACTAGCGGGCAGGAAAGCAGTGACTATTTCTGGAGGTTGTGCCGAGGGCTCAATGGCTAGTATTGGCAGCGGTGTTGGCAGACGTGGACGTTTCGCGGCCAGAGGTTCATCTGACGGTTGCGCCTGAGGTTGCTGTTGGTTCACAGTTGCCTGTTGAAAAGAAAAAAAAAAGACCATTATCATGTAGTGACGTCAATCAGAGCTCTCCAAATGGGCTCCAACTAGGGGTGGACTGATACCATTTTTTTCCCGATACCAGCATAGTTTTTTTTTAATTAGTGCAGAATTTCCATACCTCAATGTATGTTGACCTGATCATCACTTTTTTTGTGTGTTAAACACAATCTACTAAATACAGGCAACTTCATTTTAAATAAAGATAACAAATTAAAAAATATATAATCATAATCTATGACAAAAATAGTATTATAAACTAGGTTAGTGGATAATTCAGCAGCAAAAGTTACTCTAGAAAAATCATGAGGGCACAATAATTTTATAAAATCTAAACATTTTGTATTTCTGTAAAATACATTCATGAAAAATAAGTAAATATATTTATATATAAATATATAATATAAAATTAAAAGGCATTTCTTTTAAATGTATAGCACAGTAATGAGGCAGCAACATATGATAGATCGGACAGAACAAGAAAAGCTATTAATAATCTTTCATTGTGCAAAAATATTACAATATGAAATGCTCCAATACGGAGCGGCACAAAGCTCTTATGCTCATGAATGAATGAATGAATGATGCATTTATATAGCGCTTTATTGTGTATTGCTGTACACCCAAAGCACTTTACAATCATGTGGGGGGATCTCTCCTCAGCCACCACCAGTGTGCATCATCCACCTGGATAATGCGACGGCAGCCAGTACGACGGCGCCAGTGAACTCACAACACA